TTGTTGTTGTTAGTAATTAAAACGTCGGGTTTGTTGTTTTTTTTTTTTTTTTTTTTGTTGGTAGGGGGTAGTGTTTTTTTTTTAATTTTTTAAAAATTTAATTTTATCCCGATTGTTGTATTTGCAAATTGGAAGAATGTGCATTTTGGCTTTCGTTATTCGGTTGTCGCATCGATTTCCACTTGTGCTTGTGAGCAACCGTGACGAGTTGCGCAGCCGTGTGACGCACCAGGTCGAGGTAGACGCCGAGACAGGATTTCTGTGGGCTGCAGACGGTGTGGCAGGTGGATCCTGGCTGGGGCTTAATGTACGCAATGGGCGATTTGCTATTCTGACCAACTGCTGTCGTAGTCCAACGGCACCCCTGAGTCTTGGCAAGATCACCGCGCCCGCCAACTGGCGGGGAGCCATGCCCCTCGATGAGGTGGTGCGGCGGATGCGGGTGCACGCCAGGCCCGCCGAGCACGGTGGCACCAATGTGTCGCTGGCGTTCGTCCCTCACGCTTCTCGAGGCCATATTGTTCGTGATTTCTTGCTGGAGGGGAAAACGCCGGGGGATTGTCTTTCGTCATCGTCGTTGTCGACGCACTCCTTTTCCACAGTGGAGATGGAACTAATGGGGCTGAGGCCCTCACTTGCCCCACCATACTTTAGAGGTTATAATCTACTCACCGCGGAGAGTCTATTTGACTCCCGGAAACTGCACTTACTGTACACGACAAACCGGTACGCTGCGGAGCACAAATCCCCCGTACAACACGGCATCACTCATTGTCTGGAGAACAGCTACCTTGACAACTGGAAGGAGCCCAAGTCCGCGTTGTTACGCGAAAGATTTGAGGAAGCAGTGAGCAAATTCATCCCCACAGATGCAGCACCGTACGATGCGGAGTATGTGGCAAACTCCTTCGCATCTCACTGTCTCTGTCTTGAGCCGCAGTTTGATCTGCGCGATGAAATTCTGGCAGGCAAGGGCTCTCCAGAGGTGCTTCGGGAGTATGAGGAGGTGCTAGACGCTACACTGCCGTATAACGGCTACAATGGAGAGAAGGAGCTCAAGAAGCTCTACGGCGGGGGGCTGCGTCCCCCGTTGCGCTTCCCGACCGAGTTTTACAGGGAGGTTGCTAATTTTCACGAACGAAATATTTTTTCGTCGAATCCGACGTACGGCACACGAGCGCAGACGGCGGTGGTGGTGGAAAAGGTGCCTGATGGAGAGAAGACCATTGTCCACTTCTCGCAGCGAGATTGTGACCCCGGTGGGGCACACAAACTGTGGCGCCACTTTACTGTCTCTTCACCACCAATGACTTGAATGTGAAGCCGGCGTCGGCAGCATTCACTCTATGTTTCTTTACAATTATGCCTCTCTTCTCTGCGTAACTTGTTTCGGTAAGTATTTTAGGTCAATGGCACTTTTTTGTGTGTGTTGTTTTTTTTTACTTTCTTTTTTTTTTTGTATTTGTTTTCGCTTTTTTTTTTTGACGTTGCTGTTATGGTGGTGGTGGTGGTGCTGGTGCTATTGCTGGGTGTGGGTGTGTGGAATTTCCCCCGCCGCCTTGTGGGAGCTCCCTCGATGCCTATCAAGTTCTTTTTTATCTCTCTTTTTATTTTTATTTCGCCAACAGGAAACGCAAAGGAAAAAAGTACAGTAGCGACAGTAGCGAATAAGAAGAAGCAGAGAGAGTGGAAAAGCGGGAGTGCAGGGATGTTCAGCGAGCCGGTGTATCTGTCGCTCATGGATGAGTACGACAAACCGCATACCACGTCGTCGCTGGGGAAGAACCCGGCCGGTGCAAAGAGCTTTGTCGTCCCGATGAAGCGTTCCCCACATATCACTGATGCGGTGTTTCAGAAGCCGTTCATTTCCCTCGCTGTTGGAGATGAGTACGTCCCGGTCCCTCCAGGCGGCACCTTCCGCCAGCCCGTAGAGGGAAGGAAGGGCACAATGGTGGTGTCAGTGCCGTTTAAGCCCCCGAGCCGTCCCCACAAACCAAACGGCAGCGGGACGTACTACGGCACGTTCAACGAGACCAACCCGCCTAGGCATGAGGCGGAGTTACCGCTGGTGGAGATTAAAAAGGCTGGTACCACCGCGGACGCCACCTTGACGTGGCCCAAGCGCAAAATATACACGAACCCCGGCAAGAAGGGCACCTACGGCTATGTAGGCCTCACCATTGGCAAGGCGGGGGAGGTGCAGTACATAGCTGACCCCATCAAAAGCGCCGTCAGCCAGCGCTCCTGCAGTCCGTCCTCGCAGAAGCCATTTAGGGCAGCCGTGAAAAGAGGTGGGTGCTTCGATGAAAGCGAGCATGGCTTCAGTACAGTATACTGCATTAAAAGACCTCTGCCTCCGAAGAAGCTGCAAGTGCCGCGCCCCCTGCCGGACATCAAACCATGGAGACCAGCCGGTGCGCTAGTGAAGGATATTACAAAGTCACCTGAGTACCAAGAAGACCCGTATGAATTGAAAGAAAAACGCATCCGCGAGGAACGGCAGAAGGGGCAAAGCTATAAACCGTGGTGCCCAGCAGGCAATGACCCATACCGCTACATTTATACCTACCCCGTCCGCTTTGATCCCCCTCCAGTACAATAATAAGGGAGCAAGTTTTGTGAGGAGCACGGAATACCTTGCATTGACACCAAAATAGTAACGCATGTATACGTTCTGTTTTTTTTTTCCCCCTTCCCCTTTGTGTTTGCTTAAATATCGCCTCACTTCTTATTGCTGTCCGGCACGAAGGGAGAGAGAGAGAGAGAGAATAAACCGTAGAATAAGGCAGATACGTAGAAAAAAAAAAAAAAAAAAAGATGGCACGAAACATGGAAGCGGAAAAAAAAAACTTCATTTTTTTTGACGACAGCATTACCAACACGTGAGCAACAGGGGGAGGGAGAGCACGTGGGAAGCAGATGCGTATGTGACCTTCGTTCTTATTGTTATTGTTGCTTCATGTATTTTGCCTTTCGTTGTCTTTGCCTTGCGGTTGCGCTTTGCTCGGTTGTTGCATCGTGCTTTTCCTCGTCGTGTCACCTCAACGCAGCTGCGAGGGAAACACCTACACGACCAAGGAACTTGTGGTAGGAGAGGAACGGCGCGCGTGCTGCAGGTGAGAGGGTGATCTGTTTGGGTGCTGCAGCACAGTGAACTCGAGCGGCTGGGGAAAAGCGTAAGAGACACACTCGCACACACAAAAAAAAATTAAAAAAATAAGCGGGATTATCATGCGCCTATGTTATTATGTATACTGACGTCCTTCTCTACAAGTAGGAATGGCAACGCAGTCTAGTGCATTGAGTATTTCCTTTTCTTTTTGCATATGTAAATCAATGTATTTTCACTGCCGTGCCGCGAAGTTGTTACTATTGTGATTGGTTCAGGGACGCCATGCATCAACTGCGCCTGAGCGCATGCAAACCGCTCGCCCGTCGTGCAGTCCTGCCGTGACCTTCGAGGAAGGCTGCCCTCCCTTATGTTCACTTTCGCTTGCCTCCTCACCTCTCCTTGTTTATCTATCTTTGTTTTTGTTTTGGCTTTGCGAGGTTTGTTTAACTCAAATTGGGCGCGCAGTCTGAAACAATCGGGAATCATGCCGTTCAGCAAAGCATGGCGCAGTGCAGTGTACCCCGACTTCCGCGAACAAGGCGCGTACATCAACTACAAGGCCACCAAAGACATCCTGCATCGCATGAAGGAGGACATTGCAAACCCATCCACCCCCGATGAACTGTACAACTCACTGTTGGAGCAAAAGTGCTGCGTGTACAAGTGGTGCGAAAATAAAATCAAGGAGATCTTGACGGTCGCGGAGTCCCTAATGGCAGCCTCTGACTACCTCTCCGAAGAGGAAACCCCAGCCAACTTGAGCCTTGTGCTCAATACACTGGGTCGTGGAAATATGAACTGTTTGCCTCCCAATGAGGCGCGGCTCGTGGCAGACGCCATCTCGCATGAGCTTCTTCGCTTTGTGGAGTGCTGTAACCTAAACACTGACACCATTGAACATATTATTGGCCGCATGTACCGCTACGCCGTACTCGGACCCACGGGAGATCGCTGGAATAACCTCAAGACGGAGTACGACTACCATCAACTGTCAATTCATGAGATTTTTTACCTGCTTTCAAGGGTGTATGATCGTGTGACAGAGGCAGAAAGCATGCGCATCGGAAGGCGTTCTGGGATTCCAGAAGGCACAGTTGGCTCGCAGGTGTTTGACCGTCGCTCGGTGAAGTACTGGGTGCATCTGCAGGACCTTCCCTTCGTCATTGCCCGCATTATTCCTCACTTACCCCTCAGCACTTTTAAGGACACGTACAAAATCTGCAGGGAGCGTAATATTCCCTTTATGCTGGGGTCCCCCGTCAGCAGTGTGTACTGGGACAACAATGAGTTTCTGTTGTACCACCGAAGGCTTGAACGACTGGAGGGAGCTACCCTTATTCGCATGCGCTGGTACAGTGACCCATTGGAGTCAGACTGGAATAAGCTTGCCCCCACGGACAGTGTCTTTATGGAAATTAAAGTACACCGCGAGGCCTGGTGTGGTGAACGGAGTAATAAACGACGGTTTGCACTTAAGGAGAAGGATGTGGATTCCTACGTACACGGGAACTTAGATCTTAGCCCGGCGGTAGAAAAACTGCGTGGTGAGCATGCCCATGAGAGGGAACTACGCAATTTCATGGACCTATCTACCGAAATCGTTTCAAAGATTGACGCCTATGAACTTAAACCTGTGATTCGCACGCAGTGTTGTCGAGCTGCCTTTCAGCGAGGCATTGACCAATCCATACGTATCAGCATTGACACAGACCTACGCATGTCCGCCGAGGACTTTGGGTTGGGACACCATTGGCGGTACAGTGGCATGGACTCGCCCGTGTCACACTTTCCATATGCCGTGGTAGAAATTAAACTGCAGTGTGCCGAAAATGAGCGTATCGCGCCCTGGATTGAGGAGCTGATGAGCTGCCGGTACATGGAGAGTGTGCCGAAGTTCAGCAAGTATGCACACGGCATCGCATCCTTGTACGGTCACACACCCTTCATTAAGATGGTGCCGTACTGGATGCACCAGCTGAACATTGATATCCGCGCCTCCACGAAGCCGGAGCAGAATCAATGGGATCCCACCACTGGTCTCGCCTTTGGTTGCTGGGAGCGCACGACGGATCGCGTCATCTTTGGCGTTGGAAGCGCGCAGACGCAAACGGTGGGGGCGTCAGAGGCACGGTTTCTTCCACGCACCGACTATACCCGTATCTACCAAAAGGTGTTGCGTGGTCTCCGTGGGGAGAGCGCTGCTTTACCTATGGACGCCGACACCGACACCGACGGAGGGCGCACTGCAGGCAATAGTAGCAGTCGCCAACTACAGCCACAGCCGCAATTGCCTGCCCACACGCTTCAGTACGATGTAGATAGACGGCACAAGGCCTACACAACATTTCATCTCTACCCGTACGCTGAGCATGGCGTGGAGTCGTTGTGTTTTGCCCCGGCCTTTGAAAAGAATTCCGCCGCAGAGGTCTTTTATGGCCGTATCCCGTGGCAGACAGGCAAACGGATTCGTGTGCCACAGAAATACGACCCCAAGACACTGCTCACCTCAGAGCGGTACATGGTGAAGTGGGCGGAGCATGCGACACGCCTGGGTGTGGTGGGGCTGGCCGTGATTCAATTTGGCAATAGCATGACTCTCCCCAGCGATGTTTCACATCTAAGTTCGGTTTGGCGGGCCCACTTTCACATAGTGTTGGGCACCTCACTGGTTGCGGTCGCCTTGTTTACGTTGGCGTACGCGTATATAACATTTAAGGCACGTGCGCGGCGCGTCTACGCGCGGAAGAAGATCCGCTACGACGACAAGATGGGGCCGAGTGTGCTGACGGTGGTATTGGCCTTCGGTATCTGTGTCACGGCGATGACGCACATCATGGTACGCTACGGCCCCATGTTAACCGGTAACGACGACTTTTAAGATAGAAATTAGGGTCTCTCTCTCTCTCTCTCTGTGTGTGTGTGTGTGTGTGTGCGTTTGAATGGGAAGAACAAGTCCACGGCCAGGTGTACACTTAGTGCCGCAGTTTTTTTCGCCTCTTTATGGTAGGTGTTTGACGTTAATATCTGTTTTGCCCATGATGCTGTGGAGTTTGTCAACGAGCGGGCGAGAGTGAAAGAAAGTATGATGCGGAAGTAGCGACCTGCATGCCCGTGAAAGGGGGAGGGGATGAGAATAACACATTGTGAGCTAAGAGAAGCAGGCAATTGTCATTATCACACATGCCACCGTTAAGAACAAATGTGAGTTGTTTTTAATGACTGCCGTCTCGCTGCCGACAAAAAAAAAAAGGAGATGCCTTCATGTTTTATTACTTATTTTTTTTTTTAAGGCTCTGGCGCTTGGGTCTTCTCCCGTCGCCTTTTGCTTGTGCCTTATTGCTTCTGGGGCCTCTCCTCAGCTCTGCGGCGCACACAGATGGATGGGTGCACTCCACACATTGCTATCTTGCATCCTTTTCTCTTTGTGGATCATTTCATGCCTTGATCTTTTTTTTTATTCCATCCCTCTTTTTTCCGTGTTGTTGTTGCTATTGTGGAAGTTCTGTAGTCTTTTGTTTACTTTGGTTTTTTTTCTTTTTTTTTGAGGTGCAAAGCAATATACGTGTCCATCGGAGGAAGGTGTGCGAGGATTGTTACCGGTGGATCTTTCTTACTTGTTCTCACTTTCACACACGCCGAGTGTGTGTTGTGCGTGTCGGTGCAAGTTGCCTTCACAGTGTGTGTAGGACTAGCGCACGTTGCCGCATCAGCAGAGGCAGGTGGGCAGGGGAGAGGCGATTGGGGTTTAGTAAGGCGCCATGCTGCGCTTCAGTTGGTGTCGTCTGTGCAGCAGCACACTCAGCGCTACTTCGCCGCTGGCTCCAGATGTTGCGGCGGTGGCGAAGGCGCAATCGGCGCAGCTTGACGGCATGTCGCCGCGAAAGATTGTGTCTATTCTGGACACGTACATTGTTGGACAGTCGGATGGTAAGCGTGCGGTGGCCATCTCGCTCCGTAACCGCTGGCGTCGACGCCAGGTGAAGGATCAAGACATGCGGCGTGACATTCTGCCGAAGAATATTTTGCTTGTCGGCCCCACCGGAGTGGGGAAAACTGAGATCTCGCGGCGCATGGCGCGCATCACCGACGCCCCGTTTGTTAAGGTGGAGGCGACAAAGTATACGGAGGTGGGCTTCAAGGGGAAGGACGTGGAGACGATTATTGAGGATCTCTACATGAACGCGAAGACTAAGGCGAAGCGCCGTCTGGAGGCGGAGAGGGTGGAGGAGGCACTTGCGATGGCACTGGATGTGGTGTATGGTAGCTGGGCGACACGCCGGCGCGCCAGCGGCGGTGGCAGGGGGGAGAACCACGAGGACGAGGACGAGCGACGCGCCCCCTTCACCGAAGTCACGCTCGAGGAATTTAAGGCCAAGTACAAGACGGAGTTCAAGGACGACACCGTGACAGTTGACGTCGCCCCACCACCGCTGAAAAGCAACCGGCAAGGCTGGAGCAAGGCCGATCTGGAGCTCGCTGGCCTGTTTGGCTCCCCCCCCGAGATGCGGCTCAAGACGCGGGTGACGAAGCGCGTTGAGGAGGCCGTCCCGCTGGTGATGCAAGACATGTTAGACCGTCTCTTGGATGAGACGCAGGTCAGCACGTTGGCCCGTACTTTGGCCGAGGATGATGGCGTTGTATTTATTGATGAGATTGACAAGGTGGTGACGGATATCTCGAATAACGATGCTGATGTGAGTTCCACCGGCGTCCAGCAGGATTTGCTGCCGCTCATTGAGGGCTCCGATGTGACGTTGAAGGACGGCACCCAAATTAGCACCGACAACATTCTTTTCATCTGCTCGGGGGCGTTTCACTTGGCAAAGACCTCCGACATGATTGCAGAGCTGCAGGGTCGGCTGCCGGTGCGAGTGGAGCTGCAGGCGCTGAAGGAGGAAGACATGCGCCGCATTCTTAGAGAGCCGAAGTACAATCTGCTGCGCCAACAGAAGGAGCTGATGAAAACGGAGGATGTGGACGTGGAGTTCACGGAGGACGCCATTGACGAGCTAGCCCGTGTCGTGACAACTGTGAACGCGAACGGGCAGAATATCGGAGCACGCCGTCTACACACCGTGATCGAGCGTGTGATGGACGAGTACAGCTTTAACTGCCAGGACTACGAGGGGAAAAAGGTGGTCATTGATGCCAAGGTGGTCAAGGACGCCACCTCTACACTGCACAAGAACATCGATCTGGCCAAGTACCTTTTGTGACTCCCAGGCAGGCGTGTGTGGTGTATCTAACTGAGGAAGAGAAAGAGAGAGAGAGAGAGAAAGCAGAAAAGAAATGGCATAAAGACAAGCCAAAGAAAAAAAAAACAGAGAATGAAAAGGTGGACGGAAGGAGCAGTGGGGAGGGAAAGCGAAAAAGAAGAAACAACGTGGATCTGCTGAACGCAGAGTTGTATGTGTGTCGTTGGAGTTGAGTTTGCTCCTCTGCGCCCTCGTTGCTCGTGCAGGTTTGCGTAGTTTGGTTTGTGTTATCCCGCTCTTCCTCTGCCGCTTTTGTTCAGGGCGTGTGCGTGCGTGTGTTGTAATGGTGGACGTGGTGGTTCCATGGCTGGACCTCAGTTTCCGCATGGACAGCCAACGGGCCTCTCTCTGTCTCGGTCTCTTTTGCCGTCTCCCTTCTCCCCAACCCCCCGTGGTTGCTGTAATGTGTGGGTGGCCTCTGCGCCACCGCGTGTAGGAATCAAATGTCTGATATTGCACCGCCAACAAATGGAGCGAAGAGCATTCGGGTAAAATTGCCGGAGGAGAATAAGTCTGAGGAGGAGGAAGTAGAGGAGAAAATGCAGTCTGTCTCTGCGCGAAGCGTCCCTGCGTCACTACCCACCGTTGAGGCTCCATTCATCCTCTGCCCTTTGATGAACCTGGGTAACACGTGCTACTTCAACGCCGGCGTGCAACTCCTAGCGAATTGTACCCCGTTTGCCTATGGCCTGAGGAACTCCCCCTTGCGGCACCCCTCTCTTGGGCCCCGTGCCCGAAAGCTATGTTGCACGGGGGGGGCAGCGTCAGAAGCCTTGTTTCAAACCTTTGCGCAGCTGCTGTATGACATGGAATTTGCACGACTACGTCAGGGGGAGGCCCTCTGTCCGCTGAAGGCGCTCGATTGCCTGGCAGCCGTGCACCCTGCCTTTGAGGGTCGTGGCCAGCAGGACTGTCCGGAGATGGTGAACGTCATCGTCGCCAACCTCTCCGAGGAGGGGCGACAAAAGGTTGAGTTGGAGGCGCTACTGCGCTCCTTTGAGGACGATGCCGTGGCCCTTGCGGTGTCGGATGTTGTGGCCCTCAACAATGTCTCGTTGATGCTGCCGCCCGAAGGTGTTGATGTAAGATCGGTGACACAGGAGAACGCCGCGGGGATGCTCGTCAGTAGAGAGTCACGAAAGCTATACAGCTCCACCGAAACGGAGAAACATGATGGTCTTCTGTTGCCGTCGTCGTCGTGTTACTGTTCTACGCAAAAATCCATCTCGTTGCCTCTGTTCCCCGGTTCCTGGTGGACGTACAATACGCTGCGGCTGATGCAAACGGTAAACTACGACAATGAGCAGCTTGAGCGCAAGGAGAAGGCCAGAAGGAATGAGCCCTACCGAAATACATTTTCTCCACCAAAACTGCACTACAACGGTGTGACGGATTGTTTTACGGGGCACTTGTTGTCGGAGGTTCAATGCCACACATGCGGTAGCACGTCTCGCATCGTGGAGGAGTTTTCCTCCCTCACCATTGATGTTGCATCTTATAGCCAACGGAGGCAGTATGCCCGGAGGCATCCAGAGACGCAACGTGTGGCAGAGGACAGGCTCTCTGTTCAACAGAAGAGTCGCGGGTCCTTCCAGTGGTGGAACCCATTTGCATGGATTGGCGCCTTGACGCGCTACTTACTTAGCTTTTTTCGTGGCTTCACGCATTACGTTGATTACTGCGTCACCTTGAAGGAATGCCTTGACATCCACTTCGATCCCGTCGTTCTAAAGGGAAACAACAAGTATCATTGTTCCTCGTGTAATACGTTATCAGAAGCCACTAAGCGAGAGTCGCTCCTCTCTCTCCCCGAGTACCTACTACTGCAGATGAAACGTTTTGAGTATGGTAGCTGCTTTAACACGAAGAAGACGGACCCTGTGTTATTCCCGGTCTCATGGGAGATTGGGGCTGCCGCTGAGGCGGATGTGCTGCGGCTCGGTGATTACATGTATAGAGGCGTCTCTAGGTCCACGACACCCGCCGAGCAGTTTCAACGCTACCTATACACCGACGTCAGCACGTCTGCGACGGAGGCAGCGACAAAACCGGGGAATGTGCAGCACACCCTTAGCTCAGCCACGGAGGGTACGGAGGTTGACTCGCCAGGGATGTTGGCTCCCATTCACACCTACACCCTGGAAAGTGTCGTGAACCACCATGGCTCCATTATGGGTGGGCACTACACCGCCTACGCCCACAAAAAGACGGAGGATGAGTTTGTGTGGTTGTCCCTAAACGACGAGGAAATTCTGCGCGTGGGCGTCAATGAGGTGGAAAACTCCGAGGAATATCTTCTTCTTTACAAGAAACAACCTCTCAACCCTCACTCAGAGGCTGTGCTAAGTCTCCGTCAGAAGGCCAAGTCCCTCCTCTCGGTGCCACCCGCTGAGGAGGGACTGACGCCAGAGGGCAAAGCAACCCTCGCGAAGGGGGGCGGCACGAGGGAGACAAACGCCGACGAGGTGGTGTACATATCCCGCCCCTGGCTTCAGCGGATGGCGTTTATGGAGGAGCCAGGGCCAATTCTTAATCGTCTATGCTACTGTACTGGAGGCCGTGAGGACGACGCATCCACCTTGAATCTGCAGGAGCCTGGGTCTGATGGTCGGTCGTGCCACACTGCAGGCAGCTTTCCTGTTGAGTGGTTTTACGTCCCGTTGCAGCGTGATGAGTACAATGCATTTTACAGCATGTACGGAGGCAACCGCCCGGTGCAGCGGGGGGAGTATGAGGCGTTGTGTAGAGCGCAGCATGAAGTAGTATAATAAAGCAAAAGGAACAAACAAACAAAAAACACAGCTAACAGTATCGAAAACAAAACAAAAAACAAACACACACACACATCACATCACATCACATGTTGCTGCGCACAAGCATATGCATTACAAGAATGAATTTATACGTTGTAACTGGTGGAGTGAAAAGGCAACATCAAAAACAAAAACAAAAACCTGGTTGGATGTTCCTGAAGTCTTTTTTTTTATTATTATTAATCCCTTTTTACCCTACCTTGGGATGACAATTAGATGTGGTGGAATGCTGCGGTTGGACAAGCTGAGGAAACTGAACAATCGCGTGGAAAGTAAAGAGCTCATTGTTTGTTTGATTGTTTGCTTGCTTTAGTTCTCTTTTTAAGTGGGGGAAACAAAAAAAAAAAAACAGGCGGGGAAAAGTAGCCGCGCTACACGATTTGGGCCGATGTCCGTTGCAATTCATGGCGCCACGTGCACATGCCTACGCCTCGCTGCATCAAGTGCCACAATATTCCTGTAGGAAAAAGGCGGTAGTTCTGTTGCTCCTTTCCTCTTAATCTTTTACGTGCGTGTGCGTATGTCTCTCTGTGTGTGTGACGATGCTGATATGAGATGCGCTTTTTGTTGTCATAACCTGTGAAGGGCACGATGGGAGATTCTGTCCCGCCGTCACCTCCGCTGTGTTAGGCGCGCTCGCCGTACGCCGACGGAGTTTCCCTGCCTTGCGTCCCTCTTTTTTATTGCTGTTGCTCTTCATACGTGCCCTCTGGCTGCGTGTGCGTGCCGTCTGCCGTCGCCGGAGCTGCGTGTATTGAGCAAACGCAAACGGAGGCGGCGTACACGCATATAGGGTGAGAGTGAGATAGAGAGAGACGCACCAGGAGGGAGGGGAAGAAGCAAACTAAGGTTGACAGTGGCACTCAACAGCAAACGATGAACGGAGACCCACTCGTGGAGCTGACGCCGCTGCGCTCTTCGATGCGGCATGAGGCCTCGCGAAGTCCCTTGCACGCGGCGGCGGAAGGTGGTGCAGGTGCACCGCCGCCACCCCTGTCAGCATCTTTTGCACGTCGCGAAGATCTCTCGTACATTTGGGGCACCGACATTGCGGTGGAGACATTCCGGGAGGAGTTTCAGCGTTTCCTCGAGACGTTTGAGGTGCACGTTGACAGCAACGGTGGCTTGCGAGAAACTTTGGGTGCTGGCGTGAGCACCGGTAGTGGCCACCGTGGCGTTGGTGCCCGCAAATACTTCCTCCAGGAGCTCCTGCGTCTTCGACTGCAGAACCGCAGTGTACTTGAGGTGGACATGCAGCTGCTCGCCAGATCGTGTCCGCGACTGTACCATCAAGTTGTTGCTCATCCGATGGAGTGTCTGCAGATGATGGGCAGCGTTGCGGAGGACGTCTGTCAGCGTCTTGCCGTCGCATTTGCAGATGCGCCTTTGTCTGACGACTTTGTGCTGCGGGTGGCACCAAAAAATCTCCCGGAGACAGTCTCACTGCGTGGGTTGGGGCCGCAGCATCTCGAGCAGCTTATCGCCCTTCAGGGAATGGTGGTGCGGGTGTCGAAAATTATTCCTGAGATCCGCGTCGCATTCTTTCAGTGCTGGTACTGCCAACACGTGCGTCGGAGCGTCGTCGATCGCGGTCGCATCTTTGAGCCCACCCACTGCGATCACTGCGGCAAACATTACTCCTACCGGATTCATCACAACCTTTCCCTCTTTGAGGATAAGCAGCTGGTGCGTCTGCAGGAGGCGCCGGAGCACTTGACAGACGGCGAAACGCCTGTCACTATCTCTGTTGCCGTGTACGGGGACTCGGTAGACATCGTGGTGCCGGGTGATCGTGTCGTTGTGACGGGCATTTACCGCGCAGCCCCTGTCCGCCTGAATTCCAATACACGCAGCATACGCAGTATTTTTGCCACACACGTCGACGCTGTGCATATTGAACATCGTCGTGCAGGGCGAAAGTCGTGGAAGATGCAGCAACAACAGTCGCAGACATTGCCGGGTGGCAGTGATGAGGGGCTGTCGGAAAATCCGGCTGAGGCCGCCCGCCGCGATGTGTTCCGTCGCATTGCCAGTCGTCAGGATATTTATAGCATTCTCCTCAACAGCTTTGCGAGGACCATTTGGGGCAATGAGGAGGTGAAGCGTGGAATTCTCGCACAATTATTTGGAGGGACGCGGAAGGAGCTCAAGTCCGGCACCTTCCGTGCTGAGATCAACGTGATTTTGTGCGGGGACCCGGGTGTGGCAAAGTCCCAGCTCCTGTCGCAGGTGCACGAAATTGCCCCACGCGGTGTTTACACTTCAGGGAAGGGCAGCAGTAGTGTTGGTCTTACAGCCTTTGTTGTGCAAAACCAGGAGACGGGGGAGTTGGTGCTTGAGCCCGGCGCCCTCGTGCTTTCCGACCGCGGACTCTGCTGCATCGACGAGTTTGACAAGATGAACGAGGCTACGCGGTCGGTGCTGCATGAGGTGATGGAGCAGCAGACCCTCTCCATCGCAAAGGCGGGCATCATTGCGCAGCTCAATGCCCGCACGTCGGTGTTGGCAGCCGCAAACCCAAAGGAGTCCCAGTGGAATGTAAACTTAAACGTGGTGGAAAATCTGCAGATCGAGCCCACGCTCTTGTCACGTTTTGACTTAATTTTTCTTTTGCTGGACCGGCACGACCCGACGGAGGATAGGCGTCTGGCTTCACATGTTCTCTCCCTCTTCATGGAATCCGACGTGGGATCTCGCCGAGCCTCCAACGCCGCTGCGACGTTCAGAAGCAACAATAGCCACCGTAGCAACACGACGAGTGGTACGGAGTTGAGCGGCGCCAATGAACCGGCTAACGAAGAGGGCGAGGACGAGGAAACAGGGGAAAATGGCAACATGGCATTGCGAGGATTACCCATGAGACAGGCAGCGGCGGTGTTGGAGCATGAGGGTGAAGTTTTTCTTGAGGGGACGGAGGACGCCCCCTACATGCCCCCACGTGTTCTGTCGCAGTACATTGCACTTGCGCGTGAGACGGTCCACCCGCGGCTTACTGAGGCCTCTCACAAGCAGCTGGCGGCGTCGTACGTTGAGATGCGTCGCGCGCGCGGCAGCAGCCGGACGGTGTCTGCAACACTACGGCAGTTGGAATCCATGATTCGACTGGCAGAGGCGCGTTGTAAAATGCGCTTTGGTGCCGAGGTGACTGTGGAAGACGTCAAGGAGGCAAAATGGCTCATTAGTGCCGCACTGAAGGAGGCTGCGACCGACCCTCAGACCGGCCTGATCAATTTAGACATGTTTAGCGCACCGGACCCGACGCGGCAGACGGTTGAGGGAAGTATGCTGCGCTTGGAGCATATCATTGATGGTCGCTATCTCGCTGCGGGTCGTACCTCTGCGACGGTGAATGAGTTGCGGCAGGCGCTCAACGAGTCCCTCAGCGGTGGGATACGGCCGCTCGCAATTGCGCAGTTCATGGAACTCCTAGCACTGATGGCAGGAGGCGAGCACGTGAAATCCTTCAGTGCCACCTCGGTGACCTTTGCTGATAGGGGCTCCTAGTGAACAATGCACGCATACTACATAGATGTATACATGTATGTAGTATGCGTGCGTGTGTGCCTGTCTATTTTGGAAGCGTGAGTGCACTATATTATAACTTTGTGGAGGACTTTGTTTCTCATGGCAGGCCACCTCACATTCTCTCCCCCTTTTCCCTCATGATATTGTACGAGGGTATCATGTATGCGTTGCTGGGCCTTTCTCTCCCTCTCGGAGTGTGTGTGTGTGTATGTGTATGTGATGGTGGTACCAGTAGTGGTTGCGTCTTTCGCTTGCTTGTCTCAGGGAGTCGTCAATCAAGACTGCACATAGTACGGCACGAGGTCAAGATGCAGCAGCAGCAGCAACAGTGCGACAACGCTCTCTGGGCGACGCTTGGATTGAACTCGCTAGATAGCACGGGGCAGCAACTCGTCACGCGACGTGTCATCATAGTGGGGGATGCTCTCAGTGGAAAACGCGCCTGCATCAGTCGGTTGTTTTCCGCTGCGATGCAACAAATTCCATCTTCCTCTGTGTTAGCATCGTCATTGCATAATCATGCCACGAGCAGTAGTCTTGTTGGTGGGACCAATCGCCCTTTTTTACCGCAGGGACTGCGGGAGGGGTCAGAGGTAAGCCATGGCAGCCGAAGCAGCAGCTACGCACCGGTGGTGTCGGCAACAGCAGCAGCGGAGGCAGCAGTAACCGGAGGAACGGAGGTCCCCAGCTCTTCACGGTATTTCCCGCAATTTCCGCACGGCGCTGGTATTGTTCAGGCATTTATTTTACAACGCCTTCCTGCAATTTGTAGTAAGTTTATTTCCGCAGTGGAAGGTGGGTTGAACAGCAGTGGTCCGTACAGTAGTGCCAGTGGCGTTGGCGGTTCTCCGGGTCTCTCTGGCGCCGTACACCACGCAATGACGGAGTTTTTTTGCTGTGACACACCCGGGGCCCTAGCAATGGCGCTACCAACGGTGGAGGCGCTAGAGACAAGCGTGGTGCTTCTGGTGGTTGACACCAGTGTGCCGTGGCGTTTACAGGAGCAGCTGCGGCGGTGGTACGGGTACCTGAACACACACGTCATACAGACACTACGCGTGGATATGCCAAAGCAAGATGAGGTTCATCGTATGCACATGGTTGAGCAACAGCAACACTTCTGGCATGTACAGCAGCAGGTGCTGGGGTCAATGCGGCGCCGATGGTGCGAACGTGAGGCGATCCAGCTGGGAAGGGGCGCTAGCGACAAGAGCGGTGATGGTCACTACTCGCCATCGCAGTTGCAGGTGCCAAAGGGTGGTGTCTCTCCACTCCGCACCATTCTCGTCTGCACAAAGACAGATCAACTGGAGAAATTCTCACGGGAGGCGGGGAAGTTGTGCCATCAAAGCTCTTTCCTCGACGCGCAGCATTCGTCCTCGTCAGAGCGCGCGAACAGCGGCGCGGGGCCATGGGTCTCCCGCAGTCTACTCTCCGCACTGCGCACAACCGGTCTGACGCTTCTTGAAATTGTGGGACAGCTGCTGCGGAAGGAGGCCGTGGCGCGTCAGAGTGCCCTTGTCGCTGTGAGTAGCCGTGTGAACACGATTGCCACATCCTCATCGTCGCATCTCACAGCAGCCACATTTTCCACGACGGCGGCAGACGCGCCAGAAGTACCGTTACCTGGCGACGACAGTTTAAGTGAAGAGGCTGGCGCGCTTGGATCGCCTGCGAATGGTCACAGTGTATTTGTCCACCCCTTTTACAAAAATCTCTGGCTGTACATCTTTCAGTTGCTCTATAACCCCCCAAGGACCCTCGGTGATAGATTGCCGCCAATTGAGGTTCCTGCCACCCGCGACGATGACGATGGCGGCGATGGCGATGTGCCGGTGGATTTGGCAGGTCCGGAAAGGTCGGCAGGGCTGAGGGGCGAACGGGGGCTGCTCGGGACGTATCTCCCTGGTGAGATGGAGTCGCAGGTCTCATCGCGCTTTGTCCCGCACGCCTTTCTCCCGCACGGCATGGACCACTTGGAACTACTTAGCCCCTTTGTCACCTCCACGGACGCCGTGACATTGGAGACTGTGTTTGCCAGTGGCCCTGATGAGACAACGGAGGCCGGGCCAAGTGCATTGCGTCTCCATAACGAATACATGCAGCAGATAGAAACGGCGTTGGCTGCGATTCGGCCGGAGGAAGAGGCGATGATTTGGGACAAGCTGCGAGAATAGCGACAGCGAGGAAAGCAAGAAGGGGGAAAAAAAAAGGAAACAGAGCTTATTTTTGGCTATTTTTTTGTTTTGCTTCGTGCGTGTCCGTGTGGCATGTTGCTCGCCTCGACTCACCGTGAGTAGTAGCGCCTTTGTGACTTGTGTCTTCTCTCGTCCTCTGACTGTCTTTGGTTTGGGTTGTAGGTGCTGAGAGAGTGACTTGACGAGAACAAAAGGAAAAAGAAAAAAAAACGGCGTTTCAAAAGCAGACGACAGGTAGGTGTCCTGTTACATCGATTCATCATAGAGGATGGGATACGTCTCTGACTGTTTCCGCGAGCTTGGGAAGTCCAATATTCTTAGCGTGCAGCTCTCCAATGCTTTGATGGGCATCAGTGCGGGTGTAGAGGTGCCTCTCATCACGATGGTGGGCCGTAAGCTTGCGTACAATGAAAACGCCATCGCTGGCTACGTCACGCTAACTGCCGTTTGCCGTGTGCTTGTAGACATTCCTAGTGGAATGCTTACAGAGTGCTTTGATATGTGGCGGATCATGTTGTGGGCTGCTTTTTCTCAGTTTATTGGTTGTGCCATTGCGCTGGCACTGAAACCAGGCCCCTTTCCGCTTACTGTCTTCAGTGTCTTGGACGGCCTCTCCGTTGGGACCTACTTTCTGGCGCGCCACATCTATGTAAGCTGTAAAGCGAAGCGCGAGCACCGTGGCATGGTCTTTTCTTTCCTTGCGGGCGTACTGCGCTGGTCACACGTGGTGGGGCCAATGATGCTTGGTGCCGCAGCCACTGTGTGGGACGAGGAGCAGTATTACTTTATTGTGCCTCTCTTCACCGCCCTTTTGGCCTGGTTATGCATTCTATTAGACGGGTACTTTTGTTGGTCAGAGGCCAGAGGCGACGTCCATCTGCAGCGAACCGCGAAGGACGGTGTAGCGGTTGAGGAAGCAAGGCAGCTTCTGCCTGTTGCAAACGAGACAACCGCGGTAAGCATGAAAACATCATGTTGTGGAGAGCCGTCCATGGCGCTCTCATACGCAGGGAGCGCTGTTGCGTGTGGTAAAAATTGTGACCGTAGTGGTGGTAGCTATTCTACGCTCAACCCTGCACCAGCTCTGCCGGAAGCTGGCTGGAGTGAATCCAACACACACGGTGATTTTGGGGTGTTTGCTGTGTGCAACGTTGTCGTGGAGTACTGGTCCACAATCTGGCGAGTTGGTGGCTATATTCTCCTTTATGTTTCACTTCGGGCGAACCGGAAGCTACTGCTGACGTTTGCCGCGATGCGCATGAACTTTGCCAACTCCGAGCTTGCGTTTTTGCTTTCCTTTAGCTTTGCCTTTGACGCCGTTCTTTTTCCGCTGGGTGGGTTGCTAATGGACGTCTACGGCCGTCGCTGGTCCATGATCTCAGCTGTCCTCGGCATGGGCATTACCTTCATGCTGTTGCCTCTGTCACATGCCCCGTCGTGGTTGTACGTCATGTCAGCTACTTTCGGGTCCGTCGATGCCCTTGGCTGTGGTCTCCTTCTCACGCTTATTGCGGATTGTGCGCCAAAGAAACTTGGCGGGACGTTCTTTGGTGTGATGCGCACCGTACAAGACATGGGTCACGTGCTGGGGGCCATGGTGGTGTCCGTAATTATCAACCAGGTAGACTTTGTCGTTTGCTGCTACATTTGGGGGGCGGTAAGTGTTGTGGCCGCGTTGTGGGCGTGGTTCATTTCTCCAGTGAAGATTAATTGACCAGCGGAGGAGAGGTAGAGAAAGTGCGTGCGTGCGGGGGGACGGGCGGAGCACCAACAACGGGTATGCACGATGTGTTCATTATATGTATATGCGTGTGTGTTTAGGTCGTAGAAACCTCCAGGAGATAAAGTGGCGAAGACAAAAATAAGAAGGAAAACAAAACAAAATAAAAACATGAAAGAAACGAGCAAAGAAGGAAATAACCTTTTTTTTTCTATTTAAATAAAAAAAAAATAGGGATGTTATGGCACACATTTTTACGTCGCTAATTAAAATGTTAAAATAAGTCGAGAGTTTGTTTGTTTGTTTGTTTGTTTTCTTTTTTTTTTTTTTTTGTCTCCCGTGTGTTCAGTTTTGCCTCCATATAAGTGGGTGCGTGTGCTTTTGCGGTGCTAATGCGTGCATGTGCAGATGCGGCGTGTCGACAGGGAGACGAAAGCCGATAACACTTGTAATAACAACGATAGGATACAACTACTGGCAAATGAGGAACCTGCGAGTGTGTGTGTGTGAAAGGCCGCATGCGGTGCACCGATAACCCGCAAACGGAGTCATTGGTGAAGTGAACGAGTGAGGCGGTTATTGTTTTTTTATTATTATTTGATTTGGTCCCCCTGTTTTGAATCGGTGCTGCTCACGTTCGAAGTGGCATCGTGGGCGTCTGACTCGTTTGAAAGCCGAGCCGACGATGATTGCGTTCATCCGTGTCAGCGCCCTCGGACAACTTCCGGGGGAAGGAGGGTGGGGGTGGGGGCAATGACAGCGGCACGGAAGGAAATAATGGAGTCGAAGAAAGGCTGCTTTTCTTCTGCTGTCTTTATTTAATTCTTCGCTCCCTCGCTCCCTTTCTCTCTCTCTCTCTGTGTGTGTATGTATCAGTGCACTGCTGTGTGTGTGTGTTCATCCTAACCCCTCCCCCCCCCTCTCCCCGCATTCACAGCTGCATACGGCCTCACACGCAACCCACGATGCATCGCTTCTCTTTCTTTCTCTCTCTCTCTCTCTCTCTCTCTCTCTCTCTCTGCTTGTTCCACTGCTCACGCGGATGCGGAAGACGCTACGTACACGCACAACCAAAGGAAAAGGAATAAAAGGGGGATATTATGTCGAGCTGCACAGCGAGTGAGTTTGCGGGCAGCGACGCCAGCGGATCGTTTCACCTCATCGATCCCGACACAGACCTCACGGTGATGGGAGAGCGCGGGGTGGGCAGCGCGGCGCAAAGCAGCGTGGGGGTGATGGAGGCGGCGGAGAGTGGCATGCAGATGGAAAGTTGCATGAGTGACATCTCGCAGTCCGCCTGGAGTGCGCTGGCAATGACACAGCTCGAGAAGGCGTTCGTCTCGGCGCCCTGGCAGTCATCACCCGACTGCTCACCGTCGTTTTCAGCACGTCGCGGTTTGGAATCCACCACACCCTTGCACGGTGACCAGCCTGCAGACGAAGCGGCCATCATGGGCAAACATGTTTCTTCGACCCTGCCGCGCCTGGTGCGAAGTAATGATAACAGTAGTAATGGTGTTGATGGGCAGAACAAGGAGAATGGGCCGCCCCAGTCCTTTTTGTATGCCTTTGACCAGGCGTCACCACACATATCCGCTGTGGATAAGAATGGGGACACGAGTGCATTCACTTCTGCATCTTCAAGGGAGAAGTTGGAGGTGCAGAACGCCCTTCTTCGGGCACAGTTGGCGGAGGCAAACAAAAATAGCGTACATTACATGCTGCTTCACGAGCAAGTTCAGGAGGAGTTGCAAAACCTATACAGGGCATTCTCATTACTTCTGCATGGTGACACTGAGAATTAAATGAATGTGTAACTTGGGGACGCACGTGCAGATGTAAGTCAAGAGCGAGAAGAATTGCAACGACAGGGTGCCGGGGCACAACCTTTCTTTGGCAGACCAACCTGGTTGTATCAGGTGTTGAGCATGGTGGGCCTTGAATCTATTTCCACCACCTTCACCTTGCCATCGACACAGCTGCCGTAGCTGGCGTCAAAGGCTGCATACGCTTGAAGTTAAAGGATCCTCCATGTCAGATGGGTTAGGATTAGTGCTACTTTTCCTCCGCGAAGTGGCATACTCGTCACCGCAGGGCTGGACCGGCGTTGGAGTCCATTTTGTTGGCAATCTCCTCAGACAGGGGTTGGATGCGTGCCGTTCGCTGCTGGTAGATGAGCTCAACTGGAACCAGTTTGGGGGGGGTAGGGGAGGAAGTGACCGGCAGCGGTGGTACTGCCTGGTGACAGCCAAATTGGCCGAGTTGCTGAACAGGCGCGGCATCACTCTTGCAACGCGGCTGGATGAGGAGTGTGGCGCGAGCTGTTCGACGGAGGGGGGTTGGATGGCGAGGGCGGCGGCGGAGAGGGGCAACAACAACAACAACAGGCAGCGCCGACAGGTCGATGCGAGCAGCTGACCCCCGGCCTCCTCGTTCCGTTTCTCTGGCGGATGAGTTGTAACTGCGCGGAGGAGAAAAAAGACAACAACGAGTTTTCACCCGCAGCTGAAAACGCGGGAACGCCGTCGGGGGAATTTTGCCTGCAACCCCATCAAGTCATTGGTGCGGCACTGGAGGATCTTTTGTCGGCCTCCATCGCCACGTTTGCCGGTAATGCGGCGCTGTGCTACCTGCTGGCCTCTGTACCTACGGTACAGGGACGCGGAGAGAAGTCGCTGCGTCTGCTGAAGGGAGTGCTTCACCTCGACCCCAGCCACCTGCTACGCGAGGGATGCAGCTGCAATAGCCAACCTGGGCCATGATTTCATGTCCCGCGCAGTATATATATGTGTGTATATATATATATATGCTTTGTTTCTTTCTGCTTGCGATCTTTTATTTAATTTTGTAGCATGCATCTCGCCAGTACATTATAAAAGTGCAGAGGGGTGGGGAGTTTATTGGGTGTGTGTTCAGTTAGTTTTTGCCTTTGCTTACCTCACCCTGCTGTGTGTATTTTGTTTTTGTAGGGGGCTTGTTTTATCACCACTGTGGACTTGGCCACCGTTACA